CGCGTCCCCGCGCGCCCTCCCCGCGGCAGCCGCGCTGCGCCGCCGACCTTCCCGGGCGCGAGCCGCGGACCGGGCCCGCCCCCAACACCCCCAGCCGCTGGCCAATGGGGAGCGCGGGGTCCGCGGGGGCGGGGACAGCCGGACGCCCCGCCTCCCGGGGGCGTGGCGCGCGGCCTGCCCGTCGCGGGGCTCGCCTCTCACTGGCTCCCAGAGGATCGCGTCCCAGGGCGGGGAGGCGGGGCCTCGCGCTCCGTGCGTCCTGGCCCGCCCCCTTGCGCAGCCGCGCCCGGCGCTGGGGAGCTGTCCACCCAGCGGTTCTGAAATGCACGCCGCGGACACGCTCCAGGTAGGCGGGCGGCCCGCCGAGGCGGCGCCGCGCGCTCCTGTGGATTTCAGGCTGCCCTCCTAGCTTCCCCGGATCTTGCTCTGTTGAGGAGCGGGATCAGACAATAAAACGGTGTCCTTCAACAACTGTCGTGTAAGGGCGGCAACCCTGGACTGAGGTGGCTCGTCATTTCTCACAGTCCATGAGGCTGACACCTTCGGAAATCAAAATTGCTTCCCGGAGGGCTGGCACCACCTGCGCTCTGGCGTTGTCTGGGCAGGCCTTGGACGCGCACATCTGGAAGAGGATTTTATGATCGGGAAAGAAACAGCTGGTCTCCAGGGCTTCAGTGTTCTAACAATGGAGCAAAGCCGGTCTCTCCTCTTCTGGGGCGGAGCATGAGGCTGGCCGGCTTCCCCTCATGGAATATCTTCCCCCTCCTCTTTTTAACATAATGCAATAAGTTGTCACATCAGTGGTAATTGGGCTATAAAGTCACTTTCACTCCTAAATAAAATAAATCAGTGTAGATGTGAAGGGCTTGAACACCCTACTGTGTGCACTAAATGCTAATTACGAAAACGAAAGGCGGTGGGTTGCTATTTCCAAGTGTGCATGTGGGATGAAGGTGTTGGGACCAATCTGCCAGGAACTGAACCTTTCACTCAAGTCTATCCCCAGGCCCTGTCACCTCCAAACCAGGTCTCTGCACAGGCCTAAAACCAGGACAATTAGCAGACAGGCTGGAAAAACAAAGGGACTTACAAATCATTCATCTCCGTGTGTATTAGCTGATAAAGAAGAAAGTATTTGCAAACCATTACAACTCCCTTGGAAAAGGGTGTCGAGGAAAGGGAGGTTTCTAGCATCGAATCCTGTGTAAGCAAACTACCAAAGGCTGTGGAGTAGAGCCTGTGAATAGGCTTAATCAGAAAGGGCCACGGGGAGTCATAGGTTAAAGGAACAAAGTAAGGTCTATAGGTCAAATCCAAATCCCGGGTAAGACTCCTGGAAGGTTTTGTGTTGCCTATTGGAAATAATGAAATGACGGGGGGGGGGGGCATCAGAAAGTACAGTCTACAGGAAAGCGTCCTTCCTTCCCTGGTCTCAGTTGAGAAGAACAGCTGGTGTGACCGTGATCCTGGTCACTTTGTCACCATGGGAGCATCGGCCAAAAAAATAACAGTCATTCATTGACCTGGACATGGTGCTCATACCAAACAAACAAACAACATGCAGGGCCTTTGTGCGTCCTGGGCTCCTCTCCCAGCAGCTCACAAGGGGAGCAGCAGAGGGAAGAGGGTTATACGATCCGGCCTGGGGACTTAGTAGCAACCTGTTGCTAAGCATGAGGGAGTCCCTGGGTTTGAGCCCCAGGAGTGCACAAACTGGCTGTGGTGGTACAGGCCTGTAATCCAAGCACTCAGAAAAGGGAGGCAATGGAATCAGAAGTTCAAGGTCATCCTCAGCTACATAGCTATTTCCTCAGTGAAATAGCAAGTTAGAAGCCAGGCTGGGTACGGCAGACACTGTCTCAAAGAGAAAAAAGAAAGAAAAGGAAGAAGAGAAGCAAGAGACTAGGGAACAAATGTTTGCCGAATAGAAATTAGATAAAGGAGCAAGGCGTGGTGGTGCATATGGGTCTCTGAGTTCAGGCCCAGCCTGGTCTACAAAGCAAGTACTAGGAGAGCCAGTGCCAGCACCGACGTGACCGGTCACGGCGGTTGACTTCAGCCCCAGGGGTTCCAGTGCCCTGTCTGACTCCTGCGGGCTCCAGGCACTCATGCACGCATGCACGGGAGAACATCCAGTGTTCTTAACTGCTGAGCAAGCTCGTCGGCTCCCTCAGTCTAATTTCCAGTCGGTGAACTTTGTTCCCTCATCTCTTCCTAGTCTTCCTCCTCTTTATTTTTTCCATTTTGACACATTGTCCATTGTACCCAGGCTGGCCTCCAACTTGCAGGGAAAAAACAACAGAAAACAATGTCCTGTGTCAGTCACTTTTTTGTCGTTATTGAGAAGAATTGTGACTAAGGCAACCACAGAAAGAAGGTATTTAACTGGACTCACCGCTCCTGAGGCTGAGAGTCGGTGATGCTGGAACAAGGCCTCAGAGCAGGAACAGCTGCTAGCTCTCCTCCCAACCCCCAAGGACAAGGCAGAGAGAGCTAGCTTGAAATGGCTTGAGTATTTTCATACCTCAAAGTCCACCCCCAAGTGACACACCTCCTCCGACGAAGCCCAACTTCCTAATGGTTCCCAACAAGTTCACCACCTGGACACCAAGTAACCAAACGCATGAGCCTCCGGGAGCCACTCCCATTTAGACCAGCACACACCCATAGCATTAAAGGAATACGTCTAAAAACATAAAGTAGAGGACTGTTTCAGTGTATAGTCAGGCACTGAACGTGTTACTTTGTATATAAGCAAGTTCTCCAAGCAAGAAAAAAAAAATGTGTCAACCTTTGAAGGAAGGCAGCTGCTTCTTGTACAAAATATAGCAGAGAAAGAGGGAGAGAGGGAAACAGAACAATTAAGGAGAAACGTTCTCACCTGTCCAGCGTCTTCTGCTTGGTGCCACTGACTTCCCTTCAGTATTTCCTCTTGACCTTAGTTGTGAGCACACCACGGTTGACCGGCTGTTATGCTGAGACAGTTGGCCTTTGAATCATTTGAAAACATTGTCCCAAGTGAGTCGACTTCAGAAATAATTCATCTTAGGTTAACTTTGAGTTTTTAGTTTTCCGGTCGCTCAAGAAGTTCCAGGCAGTGAGAGCAGTTTGTGTGCAGCAGACACCACAGGTTTTGTTAAAGCAAAGGTGCGCGTTATCACGTCAAAACTACTGGAGGGGCTGCGGAGACGGCTCAGTGCGTGAGAGCACTGGCTGCTGTGGCAGAGGACTGGGTTTCGTGCCCAGGACCCACATGGTGGCTCACAGAGTCCAGTTGCAGGGAATCTGATGTCCTCTTACAGCCTCTGAGAGAAACAGGTGTGCACACAGCACACAAACGTACAGGCAGGTGAAAAGACTCAAACATAAAAATAAATCTTTTTTTTTTAATGAAGCACTCTTGTCATTTTTAATTGTGTCTGAGACCTCTTTATTTATTTGCTTATTTATTTATGTTGCATTATTTATTGACCAGTTGCAGAGCTTGGGACTGGACTCAGGCCTTGCATTCCTGGGCGAGAGGTCTGCTCCTGTGCTGTGCTCAGACCCCCGTGCCTCCTTTCATAGTGCAGTGCTTAGGTTGTTTTGTTTTGCTTTGTTTCCTCTTGACGTGATAAAATAGTCTGACAGGAGTGGTTTGAGGGAGAACGGGCTTATTCTGGCTCACAGCTTAAGGGTAGAGCAGCTCTTCATATGTGTTCTGGGGAGCAAAGCAAGCCGTCCTGCTTGTAAGGCAAGCACCACATTGCCACTGCCCCGTTCAGCTTGTTTAGAGCCAAGCTGCTAGGAGTTGAGGAAGCCTGTCCCAGAGCCAGGCTTTCTGACCAGCATCTAAAACCAATCAACAACCCTACCCCCACCCCCCAGAGATAGAAACACCTCCCTCCCCAGACTTGGGAGAGCAGAGCTGACACCAGTGAGCCAGTGAGGCTGGCGTGCAAGAATCCAGGGGAGGACATGAGAAGAGGTGGGGAAGTGGCTTCTCACCACGAGGATTTTTTTTTTTTCTCCTTGAGTTGTTTAGATAATTTACATTTCCATGTGGTGATCTAGGGCAGCTAGACCCCTGCCAGGCAGCACAAATAACTCTGATTACAGCTTCAACCTACCTTTCATTTTCCCCCAGGGTTTGAAACAATTTTTCTTCAAGTGAACATTATGAAATGTTTAGAGTAAAGAAAAAAATACATATTGCAAGTTTGGTTTTTATATTTTTAGATAACAGGGGTAGTTTAAAGGATCTATGTTGATTCTAAAACTCTTCCCACAAACTTTGTTTTGTTTTTTAGAGAGACTCGTCTATGGTGGATTTTAGATTTCGTCAGTCTTTCTCTTCTCCTCCTCCTCCTAAACCATAGTCTCCCTACCACGTAGCCCATGCTGGTGAAGAGAAAGGTCCAGAAGCATTGCACAAAACCTAATGGAATTAGCATTTGAGAGAACACAAGCTGGAAGAGAAGAAAGCCAGAAAACCAGTGTACTGGCTTAGACACAGAGGTGCATGACATGGCTGGAGGTAATCTTGTCTCCTTTCTTGTCTCCTTGTGGTAGC